AGCTGGGAGCAGCTGAGACTTGAACCGGTACCTATATGGGATGCCAATGTTATAGCTGGGGGATTTACCCATTGCACCACAATGCTGGCTCTGAAAATACTGAGTTTTACAAGGATTTTGAGTTTTCTTTAACTTCTACTTATTTGGTTGGGAATATATAGGACTGTCTTCTGAGTGTAGGCAATAAGTCTAGAATAACCCTTTTCTGAAGTTGAGGTTTGTGTGTATACAATACATGTGTATGTGGTTCTTTCTGTTTGCTTTCTTATTGCTTGTTGCATTTCTATTTTTAATTTTCTGGAGCCATAACCTTTGTTCTGCCAGTGGGTCATAGCTGGGTTCAGTTATCATTGCCTTTATCTACCCAACAGAGCTTCCTAAAATCAAGTTGATATAGGATGAAGGAACTTAAAAAAAATTGATGGAAATGGAATTAAAAGATAAGTTTATTTATGTGTAGAGATTTTTGAAATCCATCCATATAAGGGGCCTTCAAAAAGATTAGGGAAACCTTGTATTATGGGGGCCAGGGTCGGGGTGTAGCTGATTTAGTCACCACTGGTGTCCTCTGAGCGCTGGTTTGACTCCTATCTACTCCAGTCCAACTCTGCTGCTATGCCTGGGAAAGCAGCAGAGTATGGCCTTAAATACTGGTGCCCCTGCACCATGTAGGAGACCAGGAAAGCATTCCTGACTCCGGGCTTCAGCCTGGCCAGCATAACTCTCTCTCTGTCTCTCTCTGTCTCTCTCTCTGTTCTGCCTTTCAAATAAAGATATAAAAACCTTTTAACATATGTATTGTGACAAAACTGTGCAAGGATTTCTTATTGTTCTCTATTAAGATAAAAACTAATGGTGGTATAGCTGTGCTGAGAACCTCCCACCCCAAACCAAAATCGTAGTCATGGTAAGGGAAGAGAAGGTAACTCTTAAATGTTTCCCCAGGCTGCCTCTACTTACCACATCAACACTGGAACAGAAGAATGAAGGGGTCACTTCTCAGTTTATTAGGCATATCTCAATATTACAAATTGAATTTCTAATAATGTTTTTATCTTTAATGGGCAAGTGAACACTTTTCATTTTCCATTTCCTTTATAAAAAATTCAAATGCTTCTCCATTAAGTGGGCTTGACCGAGGTAGACATCTGTGTCAGAGTGAGAGGAGCTTCAATGGCACAACGTGGCAGAGAGTAAGTGGGTGAGGGTTTCTCTGTGGAGGAAAATTAGGAAGCCAGGTACTAGAGCCCTAGCACAGTGAGGAGGTCATTGCACAGGAAGGCATTTCAGAACAGGGTAGCAGAGCGTGAACAATTTGAACAGGTGTCTATAGAAGCTGTAACCAGGCTTAGAATGCCAGAAGTTAGAACGTTGACATGTCGTTTGGGGAGAAGTCACTATGTAAACCACGACACTCCATAAAGTATTTGGTGATGATCGGGGCACCATATTGACAACTTATTCTCAAATGGTTTAGGAGGATTAAACCTCTTTTTTAATAGACCTTCAATTTATTGAGACAGTTTAAATGTTAGAGAAAGTGGGAACAAAATAGAAGAATAAATTCTCTCAAATTGGTAGACTCACAGTTGTGGATAACAGCACAGATTAGAGTGAGATTGTCCAGGTTTGAACTCCATCACTTACCATGTGAATTTGAGAAAGTGACTCAATCTATTTCAGCCTAAATTTGTTTCAAAAGTGGGCATAGTAGTATTTACTTCATACATTGTTACTATTAATTAAGACAGTCATTGCAAAGAGCTTAGCAAAGTACTTAGCATTTAGTAAACACTAAATAATGTTAGTTAATATTATATATTCTCATTTTCACCAATATCATTAAAATGATCTAACTTTTGTAACAACTGAAGATCAAAGACATGTTTTGAAACTCAGCAGGCCAGTGAGACATGCCATCTCTACACTCATCCACCACAACCATATGTGCTTGCTTTTCTGCAGTTGAAATTAACTGTGTTTTGCTTCCAAGCACGGAATTGTGGAATTTGACCATGCAGTGTCTTAATGTGGCATTTCCAAGATTTGCAGATTCTCAGAAGTTCAGCCTTATTATCATGGTGACGTAAGCACCTTTGTATAATGTGGGTTGTTGTATCATTGAGGAGTGCACTCAGCTACAAGGAACATAAACTAGAATACCTGAAACTAATAGGGATGAATTTGCCTCACATAGAAAGATGGTAGTGAGTGGAAAACCCAAGGCTGTCAGGGGGCAAGCCCTGAAACTGCCAGGCACTATCCCTGTTTTATGAGCTTTTGTCTTTATCTTGATTGCTTCATAGTCACAAGATGGTTATAGCACAGGGGGCTTTAATTCTACTGTTCATACTTGCAGAGTAAAGTGCAAATAGGCAAAAGAGCCAAACCTGCCGAGTCTTTCATTTAATTGATTAATCCAAAGAATCAAATTCCCCCAGGCTGCATTTTCCGGACATCCACTTAGTCAGAACTGGGTCATGTGATGCTCCAGAGACAAGTCCCTCTGGAAGGATTAGGGCAGAGGGTGTGGCATTTCTCTAATTCAGATCATGACTGTGATACCCAAGGACCATCTTTGTCATGGCAGCTAAAGCTATCAGGGCTTCGAGTATCAGAGAAGACAAAGGGGAGGGGAATGCGTGTAGGTAATGGATGGTTTCTGTCACAATTGACCACCAAGTCTTTGCCAGTCTTCACAGTTGAAATCCCATCATTTTGAAAATGTAACATATTATTTTAGCATCAGCTCTTTCTCATAAAACTCAACTTGAAACACAACAGTAAAGTGTAATGCTAATTTATTTAATATTTAATCAATTTTAAGATATACAGAGAAGACTTTTTTATATTCACATATTTTTAGATGAATATAAAATAGAAACACATAGAATCTCCTTTTATTGAAAATGAGCTAAAATGTTTAAATAACTCCCATATTGAGATTTTTAGTTCCTTTATTTTTTGGCTTTTTTTTAAATATGTATTTATTTGAAAAGCAGAGTTATAGACAGAGGAAGAGACAAAGAGAGAGAGTGAGATCTTCCATTTGCTGGTTCACATTCCAAATGGCTGCAATGACCAGGGCTGGGCCAGGCTGAAAACTGGAGTCTGGAACTCCATCGGTTCTCCTATGTGGGTGCAGGGACCTGAGAACTTGGGTCATCTTCTGTTGCTTTCCCAGGTGTATTAGCAGGGAGCTGGATTGGAAGTGGAGCAACTGGGACTTGAACAGGCACCCATATGGGATTCTGGCATTGCAGACAGAGGCTTAATCCTTTCAGCCACAGCACCAGCCCTGGGCTTACAACTCTTAGCTTTGGAAAGAATGTTTTCCACCATATGAGAGAAGAAATCTAATGAGGTCCTTAAGGAGTAGCAGAGATCATCTTTCTGTCTTCATAATCAAAGAAAGACTTAAAGTAAATAGAATGCAAATCTGAAAACTGTTCATCAATCTTACCTTTTAGGACCTTTTAGAGATCATCTGGTCCCACACCCTCTTGCCAGATAGACAAGGACTGAAGTCCAGGGCACGAAGAGGAGGCATGGTGCCAGGAGCTGTATAATTGTTAGGGGAGGAGTACTTGATCAAAGACCTCTTGACCCCCTCTAGTGTGTTTTTGTGTGTATCCCTTTGAGACCGAGACAGTCCAACCATCTGGAAAGAGAAATGTGTACTGAGTAGTCTTAATTCCTGGTAAGAAAGAGACAGGAAGTGTGAGAAATTCCACAGAGTCTGACTCCCCAGATAGAAAGATGAGATCAGAGTTGAAGGATTCTTCTGCGACCACAAACGGAGAGAGAGGTAATAGAGCTCGCAAGTTTTGGTTTTATGTAACCAGCGATCCTTTCAAAATCCTAGATTTTCACCCTCTCCTCGGCTCCTCTCCTCTCCTCTCCTCTCCTCTCCTCTCCTCTCCTCTCCTCTCCCCTTCAAACCTCCCCTCTCCTTCTGTCCCCTTCCTCTCCTCCCATCCTGATCTCCTGCTCCCTTTGTTCTCTTTCTTCCAACACGTATTTGCTGAGCATCTGTTTTCTAACTGATAAAACTGCGTGTAAAGTCGAGATCTATCTTATGTACAAACTAGGTTTTAAAATCTCCATCTAGGGGTTTTTATGTGTGATCACCAAAAAATCAAAATCATAATTTGTAGTTTAGTAGGCATTAACTGTCTCTCAAAAAGTTCAATGCAACTAGATTTTCCCTCAGAATTAGAATTCATTTCTGGTTTCTTAGGATAGCACTAGATGAATCAATTGGCCGGCTTTTGGCTGGTGCATGATTATTAACAAATGTCTTATGGAGTAATAGAAACCATCTTTCTGTCTTCATAATAAGGACAAGAGCTAAAATAAGTGAAATACAAATCCAAAAACTAATATCAACATGGACTTTCAGAGATCGTCTGGTTGCGCTCCTGCGCAGCTAGAATAGAATGGAGGTCCAGAGTGAGAAGATTAGGGATGTTGCCAAAATCACACTTATTGTGGTGAGAAACATGCAGAGTGGGGCAGCAGTGTCCACTGCCTCATCTTAAATTCAACACAAGACGGAAGCCCATTGAGTTGAATGCAGAGCAGAGCAGCATGGCTCATACTTTGAATATCACTATTTGAAAATCTTGGTTCCCATTTTTTAATAGACTAGACATGAGTGAAATGCACATACATGCTAACACCATTAAATATAAACTAGTATATATTTGATAGGAAAAGTGTATGGTTATAATAGCTCATGAGCTGCTAAAACTGAACCCCAGTTTTGATCTGCAGCAGGATAGGGCAATCAATGATTCACAAAGGATTGCTTAGAAGGGCATCGTGAAAATCACGGGCTAAGAGAGGAGAACTGCCAAGAAGTAGCTCTCCCCTAAGAAGTAATCACCCTCAAAGGAATAGATTGATGCAACTTTATGATCCTTAATTAACCAAAATAGAAACCCTTCAAGAACTTCTCCATGACATCCATTCTGAATTATGGAGCCAAGATTCAAAAAACCCAGTTTTGTATGACTTTGAAATCTCTGCTCATGGGGTGACAGAGTCCTGTTCCCTGAGACACACAACTGAAGCTCTGTGGAGAGGAATTTCCTTCCTAGAGCCGTGGGAGAAATCTCCATCCTGGTTTCCAGGCAGGAATAACTTACCAAGGACATCCTGAGTAACTGGTAGGTTTTAACTGGGGACTACTCTGGGCATGTCTTCTTATTCTGGCATTCTTAGTACCAAATTTCCAGCACATTCCTTACAAAGTTTGGAATCTATGCAGCTTTTGTTCAAACCTCACTCCTACCTCTTGTTAATTTTTCTTTCATTCTGCACTTGGCGCCTTTTTCGCACGTGATTATTTTGTTATTTAATTTTTATTGCATTGTTAATAAGTAATTGCTTTAAAGCCTGTCTGCAACAAGACATGATTTAAAAGATGAAATGAAAATCCAAAGAGGACATTGACTGTAAAAACAGGAATTTTATGAATGAGGGATTTAGAATTTAAAAATTTGTAAACCAAAGAAATATGTGTAACAACATAATTATACTTATTCTTTTTTATTGTTGTTGAAATTCACTAAATCACTTGTGACATGTAAGGAATGGGGGAAATAGAAAAGAATTATCCAGTAAAGGAATGAGTATTCATTTTTTTCATGATCAGTCATATGTACTACATGTCAGGCATTATAAGCAAAGCCTGGGAGTAAAAGGATGAATAAGATATATTTCCAGATCCAATACTCATAAATATGCAGCTGGTCTTTCATATCTATGGTTTCTACACTGATGTACTCATCCGAATGAGGATTAAAAATATTAGTTTGTTACTGATGTGTTGGGTTTAGGATGATGTGTCTGTACTGATCATGTTCAGACTTTTATCAACATTCCGTAGACAATACGGTAGACCAGTTATTTACATAGTGTTTACATGACACTAGGTAATGTAATCCAGAGATCATTCAAGGTAAATAGGAGGCTGTACATACATCACATGCACATACTACGCTATTTCCTGAAAGGGACTTGGACAATTATGAATGCAGGTATCCTCAGCACAAGCTGGCCCTATCCACTTCAGATACTGAGGGGTGATTGTTCATATGTGATTTTTTATTTGTCCAGGATACATCAATAAAAAAAGAAAACTTATGAATGAATTGAAGGCAGACATTGCCTACGCTTCGTGCAGGTAACTGCCGTAAGGAATGAACAGTGTTGTGACAGAGGCTTGTGAGACGTTCTGACATGAATGCGCAGACTGAGAACTTAGCGTTTGGTGTCTGGCAGACCTGTAACTGAGATAGTTCTTCGCTGTATGATTTTCCTAGGGTTGCCATTACAAATGAACACGAACTGGGTAATTTGAAACAAGAGAAATGTATTCTCTCATGGTGCTGGAGGCCAGAAATTTGAAATCAAGTTATTGTCATGGCTGTTTCTTTCAGGTGGTTCTCAGGGAGAATCCATTCCATATCTCTCTCCTAATTGTGGTGCCTGTAGGAATCCTTGGCGCGCGTTGGCTTGTAGTGCATCACTGCAGTTTCTTTTTTTCTTTTTTCTTTTTTTTTTTTTTTTTTTTGACAGGCAGAGTGGACAGTGAGAGAGAGAGAGAGAGAGAGAGAGAAAGGTCTTCCTTTGCCGTTGGTTCACCCTCCAATGGCCGCCGCGGCCAGCGCGCTGCAGCGGGCATACCGTGCTGATCCGATGGCAGGAGCCAGGTACTTATCCTGGTCTCCCATGGGGTGCAGGGCCCAAGTACTTGGGCCATCCTCCACTGCACTCCCTGGCCACAGCAGAGAGCTGGCCTGGAAGAGGGGCAACCGGGACAGAATCCGGTGCCCCGACCGGGACTAGAACCTGGTGTGCCGGCGCCGCTAGGCGGAGGATTAGCCTAGTGAGCCACGGCGCCGGCCAATCACTGCAGTTTCTGCCTTCATCATGGCCTTCCCTCTGCGTGTTTTCCTTCCTGTAATCCTCTTCTAAGACTGATATAGGCTAATTCAACATGACCTCATTCTACCTAGTTACATCTGTGCATACACTATTTATAAGTAATCTTCTGAGTTTCTAAGATGGCATGAAGTTTGGAATATACTATTCAACCCAGTCTACTGACATACTAGTTACATGAGTTTCAACAAGAACTTAATTCTCTGTACTTTGACTAGCAAATGGAGATGATGATTATAGCTATACATACTCTGTGTTACTGGGATATTTCAATTAAAAATAAAATCCTTTGTGAATAGCCTGACTCATAGTAATTGTTGAAAAAATGCTAACTAGTAGTACTTTCAAAAACTATATTCCAGGTCTCCTTGTATTGATAATGCTTTGTTATCAAGTATTTGGAAGTTTATTAAATGTATCCAGCTGAATAGTTTATATTACTTCTGAAATTTTGCGGTGGAATATTGCATGCTAACAAGAACTCTCTGAGGAGTACTGGCTTGCCAAGTATTTATAACCATAAGGATGTGAAGGTCATGTTCCAAAAATGTGTGCACTTGGAAACTAGTCACTTAAGTTTTATCTTTAGAAAGTATGTAACTGTCTTCTACTTCTCTGGGAACTTTAATTTACTTTGTAATTGCTCTTTTATTTCAAGTAATAAAGTGAACTCCCTACTCTCAAGGTGCTTACCTTAGGGTAGGGAAGCTACATAACCTACAAATAAACCTATAATGTCTCGTAGGTATACATGCTGCGAGGGGGAGAAAAAGGGCAGAGAAGGAAATGAATGAGGAGGTAGATGTACACCTTTATGTTGACTGATCTGAGAAGGCCCTGTAATGGGAATGTGATATTCACATGTCACAACGTGAACACATTAGCGCTTTTTTTTAAAGAATTATTTTATTTATTCGAAAGAGTTACAGAGAGAGGAAGAGCTTGAGAGAGAGAGAGAGAGAGAGGGAGGGAGAGAGATCTTCCATTCCACTGGTTCACTCCCCAAATGACTGCAACGGCCAGAGCTGAACTGATCCGAAGCCAGGAACTAGGGGCTTCTTCCAGGTCTCCTACATGGGTGCAGGGACCCAAGGACTTGGGCCATCTTCTACTGCTTTCCCAGTCTATAGCAGAGAGCTGGATGGGAAGTGGAGTAGTCAGGACTCGAACTGGTGCCCATATGGGATGCTGGCGCTGCAGGCTGGGGCTTTAACCTGCTGTGCCACAGCACTGGGCTCCCACATTAGCTTTTGAATTAGTGGACTGAATAAAGAAGATCTGCCCTTTTCAGTCTGGGAAGGAATCACCAATCTGTAGGGCCCTAAGTAGAACAGAAAGGTAGAGGAAGGGTCCATGTTCTCTCTATTTGAGCAGGTAAACCCATCATACCTTTTTTTTTACCCTGGGACGTGAGAGCTTATGGTTCTCAGGCATTTGGATTCAAGCTGAATGACACACTGGCTCTCCTGGGTCATCAGCGTGCAGATGGCAGACAGGGGGAATTCTCGCCTTTCATCATGGTGTGCACCAGTCCTCCCTCCCTCCCTCCTTCTCTCTCTCTCTCTCTCTCTCTCCTCTGACAAATACTTTTGATGGTCATTCATTCATTCAATATATTCTTATTGGACATTTAGTGCATACCGGATTCTCTTAAAGGCACTGAAAATGCAGAAATCAGCAAATCAACAGAGGTCCCAGCCCTCATAGAACTTACATTTTGGGGGGAAAAACAGACTAAGCACCAACAAAAAAGTATGATGTGAATGGATATAAAGTATTACGAGAGACAAATTAGCCTCGGAAAGGGGATAGGGAGTGCTGGGGAGAGACTTTAATTAACCTGGGTGCTCAGGAAAGATTTCACTAAGAAGATGGCATTTTGAGCAAGGAATGAAGAGATAAGAATTACGGATAGCTGGGGGAAAGGTGAGGAATGTATGTATGATGGTTGGTATCAGTGTGTCATAGATGAGCAAGTGCACCATGTGCTGAGTCAGGAATGAGAGAGGGTATGACTGGCAGAGAGAGGGGAGCAAATGAAAACCAGGGCCCGTGTCAGATGGGAGCTGGTAAAGCATAGGCGTTGGCAAAGCATTGACTTGGAATAGAAAAAGTTTGGGCAGAGAACTGACAGGATCTGACTTCCCTTTCCAAAGTCTCGCTCTGGTTGCTGGGATGAGAACAGACGTGGCTGACCATTTATCACGCTGTACAATTGGTACTTGCAGATTTACCTCTAGCATCTCTCCTGCTCTGAGTACAAAACCTGAATTCTGCTTATTGTAATGTTCTCATGACTTGCTGGTCAAAAACCCCATATTTGTTGAATTAGCTCCATTACACATAAGAGACATGTATGTATTAAAAGGCAACCTGAAAAGATGACATTGAGCTTCATTTCATAGAAAGGAATACTACATGGATAAGGGTAGTAGAGAGTAAAAATAGAAACAGAGGAAAAAAGTAAATAAACTTATATTTATAAATAAAGGTTATAGTTTTCAAATAAAGAATAAAATAAAATGTAATCCTTAAATTTCAGAATGAATAAGGACCTAAGAGAGTACAGAATTCAAGCATTACAATTAAACATGTAGAATGACAGCAACTATACTATCATAGATTTTCCCCATTAAAATTAAATATTGCTGAAACCCTAGAAATTTAACTACTTTTCAAATGGCTATTTCCAACAGCAGCATACACAAATAATCAGATAAGTAGTCCACAGTTAAATAAACTTGTATCCTGATTCTTAATCAAATTAAGTGTTGGAAGCATGTATGTTACTTCCAAGTACAAATTTGCAACTTCATTGAATGTTGGACAATTTATAGGTTTCACTGAACTTATTCTTTCTTACCAATTGTCTGGGATTTGAAAAGCTGTATTCATAAGTTCAGCTAGAAAATATTTATAAGCCCTATGGTGCCAGGCATTGGCAAATGTCCTCCCCTGGACATGTGCTGAAGGGAATAAGCCACACAACGGCTTTCCTCCCACATAATTCATATGGTTCATTGCAATTGGTTGACCTTCCTGGGAACTCTTTACTGTGGCTTATGTGGGTGCCAAAAGCCCAAGAGAGCTTGCTGGGTTGTTCTCATTCAAATACCAAGCTTGCTGGGTCCTTATTCAGGCACCCTTAGACACACTTCCTTCTTGCTCAGCAAAACTGCTAATTGGCATAGGAAACATCTCAGCTTTGTCCATTTTCTAT